GAGATATAATAATAAAAAAAAAACATTTTTTTTTTTACTATTTTATCAACACATAAAAGTCAATAATGTTACTAAGAGGGTCTTCTATGTTAGTAAGCTTATAACTTTATTGCGTTCATATAAATTAAATTAATTAATTCGGTGGAATGAGTTTTTAGAAAATTGAAACTTTATCTCATAAGTTTTTATATAATTCTTTTTTTTTTTACATTTTAATCTCTACGACTTTTCAATTAATTTTACAACACTATTCTATTATATCACGTAACTTTTTCATCCACTAACCATAAGCTTTCAGCTATAATTTTAGTACTAGTACAATACTCGTGTAATATATATCTAAGTTGCTTTTGAGGCCGAATAATTGAATACGATTAGACAAGTTCAAATTGATCTACATAGTATATATATATTATTATATTATCATTTTTACATGTTAGCTTCTGTTGTTAATTAGAGCATTTAGGCCAAATTAGATGCTTGAATGTGAATTAGAGGATCATTCCATTAGAACATCTAATACTATTTGTTAAGTGGTAGTTTAATAGCTTTCTAAATCCCAAAGACTAATTAATTTTGATAAAAAAAAATAGAAAAACTCGATAAATGAGCTTTTTTTGGAATAAATAACTACTACTATAATTTAGTTGTTTTGACGCGTGAATAGATGATTATTTGACAAATATTTTTGCATATCTATCGATTCAATCAGCTAGTCAAAATTGCTAAATTCAACCAGTTGTCCTCTATAACATAATCATCTATTGTCAAATAAGCAATTATATGTAGTTGTTATGCCAACACTACTAATGAGATTTTGTGTTTAAATTGTTCAATAGTAATGTTGAGGATTGTATACAACACAAAATTCCAAATAGATGGCCTATAAAACAATACTAAAATTATAATTATATTCACATATTTATTGTTTTGTTGATTAACTTTTTTTTTATTATTTATAACTTCCAATGCACATTTTATGATCTCTACTTGATCTTGTGGTGGAGTTGACTATTGTGTAACCCTAGTAATAATAAAATAAATAGATCAATTTTTATGATTCCTTATAGAAAGTCCACCAATTATATATTTTGAGCAGTTAGAATTTATCCTCTGGAAATATTAAATATTATGCACAATGTATGTGGTCAAATGTAAGCCAACAGTGTACCAAAAAAATAAAAATAAAAAAAAAATGTAAGCCAACATTTGAAAACTATGAAAAAAAATATGGAACAAAAAATTGAATTGGCTAAATACTACTGCCTTGACCAGGTCCAGATCAGGAGCATATATATAATTTAATTTAATTTAATTTAATATAACGTTATATTATATTATTACTAATTTATATTATTACTAATTTATAAAATGTCAGTGGGACTGTGTCTTATTACGTAACTAGTGTTGATACTCGTGCTATGCACGGGATATACTATAAATTAATATTTTGTTATTTAAATATTGTTAATTTATGTTAGACAACATGATAATTATATCCGACTCAATATGTCAAGTCAGTAATAATAAAAATTTTGTTTGAAAATCTTTTTTAATATATTTGTACATGTTTTGACTATTTAATTTTCTCTCCTGGTTCCACACGTACCAACCGGGGGAGACCCACACGAGGGCACCCCTCCCGTACCTCGCTGAGATCCCTCCGGTAGATCCATATGTACCTTCCTCTTGAAAGGGAGGAACGCCTTTGGGCGTGGGACACAGGTGGCTTCGAAGGCTTTTGCTATGCCACATGTCCCTGGTCTGACCGCCTACCTTTTTTTTGAGTGAACTTTCGTCAGGAATGGGGTCGATAGTTCGTTTTCCTTCAAAGAAGGAACAGATCTTGGGCTAGCATATAAATATTACAATTTATAAGTTTGTAAAATTGTCAATATCTAGATTTTAAATATGATGTTTGTATACAAATTGTTTACATACACTTGTAAAATTACTGATTATTTTGATCTTATAACTTTTTCAACAATTCTATTTTGCATATTGTTCGATAGCTAAATAATGTTATAACCCGTAAAATTTAATTTCCATTATTATAATTTTAGATGCATGAAATATTAATTGTTTGATAATTAAATTTAAATTGTAGTAATTTTAATCGCTTATGCAACAAATTTTTCATAGTAAACTACTTATTTTTATTTTAAATTTTTCGTCTATAATTATATATGTAGTAAATTTATTCAACATATATAATGAGTGTATTAATATCGAATTTAAATGTTTAGATAAATTATATATTTTGATTATTATCAAATGCTGTAATTTTAATTATGATATTTAATTATTATCCTATTTACTCATTTTTTTATTAAATAATATATAATAAGAAATATACTTTTTTTACAACTTAATTGATTTTTTTATGTATATAGATATTTCTAATGTACAACTTATAATTATTTATTTCACTCGACCATCAAATAATAATTTTACTATATATGTAATAAAATAATATATTCAAAGGAGATATATTTTTTAATGGTTATGTTGACCATATTTTAGCAGATTTTTTTATTACTGTAAAATATTCATTAAGTTAATATGATTCAAACACATTTATTCTGATTACTTGTTTGATATTTTAAGTGATTTTGAACGGTTAACATAATTAATAAAATTCATATCTACAACCATACGATGATAATATAATTAATCAAATCAATATTTCATAATTTGAATAGTTTTTTAATTGTGTCAAATAATTACTACGAAATTAGTATTAGGATCTTTTTGAAAATATATGTAATCAAATTCTATTTAAGTCAATTTATAACTAATGAATATTAGTCAATGAGTAAACAAAAAATAATTAATGTTCATATATAAAATTTGTTAATAGATAAAGGCTGATTATATGCTAAATATAGATGAAATATTTTCCCGCCTAATACTATGTCAATTATAGTAATAAAGATTGGTCCATTATATAGATATAGATATAGATATAGATTACTAATTTCCATTTTCATGAGATATATTAAGTTACTCTCTAGTTCCATTTTTCTCATTTTCCCAATATGTTTTTTTATTATTATTATTATTATTAACGTAAACTTCCACAAAATGGCTCAAAGTTCATGAATTTGTGGGAGACTTTGAGTTTATTTGAGAAATACAATTTTTTTTTATGAATCAGATCCATTTATTGCACAGTGAAAGTTTTATGTTATTTTTTTGAACAAGAATATATAATACTACTATAATAACTAATTTTTATGTTATGAATTTTATATGAAATTTCAAAGTTGGACGAGCATGCTGTTTTGATAAACTCGGACAGAAAAGTTGATCTTAGTTCATGGCTATTTTTGATGATCTTACGTGCCTGAATGAAAATGTGTTCTTCATAACAAATGTAGTACATGTTGTGAGCTGTTTGTGAGAGTTGAAATTTCAAAAAAAGGAGTTGATTTGAATTTTATATGATTTTTCTAAGTGGGATATACACCCAGTTTTTATGAAACCCGGGGCTGTGTTTAAGTGTTGAATGTGTCATCTGTTTTGATGACCCGAAAGTGTTCGTATGAAAAAGTTCTCTTCATAAGAATTGTAGATTTCCATGGGTAGATTCTATAGGTTTTAAGTTTGTATGAATTGGAGTTGTATAGCTTGAGTTGTTGCCATTTTACTAAGGTGTTGTATATTCAAAAAGTTATTCACTGTTTCTGTTGTACCTCAGTTTAAGCTAACAGATACTGATTATTTGAAGTTTCTTTCTTCTTATGAAATGTAATATGTTTGGTTGTCTATATCTGGGCTTTGGAATTTCGTAATTCCGAGCTATATCGAATAAGTTACGATTTTTACAAGAATATTACACGTCCAGTTTTTCTTGCCACCCGGCAGCTTGTGTGTAAATAATGTGTGACCTGTTTATTGTGTCGTAATGTGCTCGTATGAACTTATGCTCTTCATGAAAGTTAGGTCTGCTTCTTATCTATCAAATGAGATATATTGCATGTTGATATGTGCTCCGTAGCTCGAATTATTGTCAAAATGCCGCCACCTTGTTTGAACATTTTGACTGCACCTATGTTTTGGATGTTTCCTGTATTAAGTGCCTTTAAATGATTTTATCTGCTTGAGTGTTCTTCATGAAAGTGATAGAAGCATGAGTTACGAATATTTTTCAAGTAGTTTTTTTTAAAATATACGTAATACTTTTGATTAAAATACATATTCTTTAAAATAATTTGTCTAATAATGACTCACCTAATAGCATAACTTTTGTGATAGGAAACCATGATGTCATGCTTAGATTTGCGCTTGTCTATGTAGACTTGGTAATGATAATGTCCATGATTAAATGAGAAATAAGCCCCCAGGGCGTGAGGGCAACTGGCTGATGGAGGAGAGGTAAAGCCTTGTTGCTGCCAGAGGTCAGGAGTTCAATCCTGACTATCGTGGGAGTAGTGGATGGGGCACTGCTACTTTTTTGGGTGGATTAGTCCCACCCTTTGGGCGTGGATCCCGTAGCATTTTAGGCATGAACAAAGATGACAATGTCGTACTTGCTGGTTTGAGATGAGAAAGGGTGCCCCGGTAGGAGTTCAATAACCTCCTCTGTTCTCCCTCTCCCGCCCATCCACGGTCCAATCTCTGTCTCCGAGCGTATTGTATGTGCCAATTGACATTTAGCGAGTAAGCCCGTAGATATTGAGGTTCCGCTTGGAGTTTTTCTTGAATGAATCTAGTTCTATGAAAAAATCGAACATCTTGTGAATGTCTTTGGAAGGGTTAAAGATTTCCAGGTGAACCTATGGTTGGTCAAGGAACCTTGCATTCATTATATTAGGTATCAAAGAAAATCCATTCTGGCTTCAAAAGGGATGTCTCTTTTCATGAATAAATGGAAATGTTACCTTATCACTTTTTGGCAATGGCAATTTTCGTTGTGTTTTGATCCAAGAAGGGTTTATATAAATCAATTCTCCAATCATTCCTTTGAAATTTTGGGCTATCTTTCAAAGCGCCCGAGATGGGTCGTATTTTATTTTTTTTAAAATCTGTACAAATAAGAGATGAGATTTTTGGGATGAGATTTTTTAATATGAGATTTTGTAACAGAGGGATTTCGTAACAGATAATAGATAAACCCGACAAATAATAGATAAACTCGTGTAGATTTATTTGCTATGAGATTTATTGTTCCAAGCGTGAATTAAGGAAACAAACGAATAAACTCGTGTAGATTTATTTGCTATGAGATTTATTGTTCCAAGCGTGAATTAAGAAAACAAACGAATTTGATGTATTTTGAACATAAATTTTAAATCAAACGCCTATCAGATTTATTGTTGCAAACGGATTTATTAGTGCAGGCTAGAATTAAAGAAATAGTGCAATAAATTGCTACTTGTAGAAAGTAATAAATGCTAAACATTTTGACTAAAATTTTGACTATCTATTATTAAAAAAAAGTTATTCTTTTTATATATTTATAGATTTTTGTCCCAACTTCCAATGCTAAAGGCCTGCTCGGCGGAGCCCGATACAGAATTGGGCCATCAAAGCCCATGTCAAATAGAATGATTACTGCAAACTTCCTAAACTTATTTATTTCACTTTGAAGCAAGTGTTTGTTTTGTTTCATTTTGTAGCAAAAAAATACTTTTAGCAAAAAATGAATTTTGGTTTCGGTGTGTTAAGGGAGACCGTCTAGCACTCGCACGCGGCCCGTGTACTCCGCCTGTCGTGTCTTAGATCCGCATTCTCTTGTGCTCGATCACACGTGCCTCGGCCACTCGAGCTGCCCTCTGGCGCGCCTGATTCGCATCAAACATCCTTGGACGCGGCCATCGGCGATCGACCACCTCTTCGGCTTCGTCGTCCCCGTAATCGTCAAACAGAGGCGGCCCTGAATATTCGACCGTTCTCTCATTTATCAAAACAAGGAAGACCCTCATACTAGGGCGACCTTTGCGCATTCGCAAGGCGCAAAGGCCCCTGAAAGTTCGAGAATATCGACTCGGAATAACGACTCCCAACGCCGACCATCGACGGAATAGGTCCCCGTGCCTGATGATCGAATGTAGTAAACTCGGAGAAGGTATCTTCATTGCTACGGTGTTCGAACCACGACCTCCGCGCATCCCCACCGTGCCCCCCCTCGTGGGCACAGTTCGAGTGCTCGCCTTGAACAATTGTATGAAGAGCCAAATGTATGTCCAGGACCCCGACAGAAAACGTTTCACGACCCTTCGCCTCGAATTGTCGACCGAACCCCTCGGCTTGGCGATTCAGAGTGTCGATGGCGGCATCGCGTCTGTCGTCTGCAACATTGTTTTTTCGCGGCGGCATCGTGAATCGTCCCATTTGAGTGAACCACAACTACTGCACACCATTTACTCACTGCTCTTCTTTATAAACAATAAAGATTCCACTTTTAGTCCAATATTTCATCGTCAGCTTTTACTAAAGAATGTCCCTCATGATTCCAAAGTTCATCGGACAAAAGAAAGTCTAAAGAGTAACAATGAAAGAAGAGATCTTTTTTTCTTTTTTTTAATACCAATTTGCCTAAAGCACATCAACAAATTATCAGAAATCTGAATGATCAATACAGACTACTGAAACCAATTCCTTTGTAGACTGTAATATACCTCAAAAAACAGATCTACAGCTGAATAAGTTTTCTGCAGAAGCAAAAACTCAGAACTTCCCAGTTTTCCTCATATGGGTTTCCAGCACGAAATGGCGTTAACTATCCTCCCTCTCCACCCGAGCAACACCCACTTACTCTGCTCGCCGATCAGAAAATCCTTGTGAAAGAACATCTTCACCCTCTCCATCGCCTCCCGAACA